ACATTATAAAAAGAAGAATCTAACCAAGCAAGTAGGCCTATCAATGATACTTGAAACTTCACAACTTGATCTGATTGTCACATATTTAGATGAGTTGTTTGTATAATCAGATTTGAATTTTGCAATCTACATCTGATTAATAATAAAAAACAAAAATTAAAAATATATTTATAGAAATTTTTGGATACATTACTACTATCATTATCATCATTTAGAATTGCCATGTGCAAAGCACATGCACGCTTACTATTTACATAAAATGTGGCTACCAATATTTATGTGACTTGTTTTGAGTTGATTGAAAACTTGTGTTGATAGTTGAATTCTTTAAGGTTTGAATTGATGTTTTGCTACCTAGATATTTTGAATTTCTACAGATTGGGTGGTACCTCCTAAGAGTGTTGTGACCATTAACTATTAGATACCAAGATGAGAATTAGAAGAGAAATTAGGGTTGTTGGAATGTTAGAATGATGAAGATTATGAGGGGTTGGAAGATGAGGGGGAGGGGTGGGATCATGAGGATGAAGAAGAATTGTATTGTGATGAGGAAGATGTGTTAGGGGAGGTGGTGATGCAGAAGGGGATGCTAAGGGTGTGGAAGGGGGTAGTGATGGTGGTGCAAAAGGGGATGGTGTTGAGGGTGTGGAAGGTGATGGTGATGGTGATGGTGGTGCAACAATTGGATGTTGTTGAGGATTTGGAAGTGGGTGGTGATGGTGGTACAATAAGTGATAATAACAAGGGGAATGGGGTTAGAGGGGAATCCAATGATCTCTCTGATTATGAACCAATACGAGTGACTGTGAGAGTCTAGGTGAGGATGAATTTTGTTTGAGAAGGGGCAATCAATATGATGGTTTTGAGTTTGATTTTTCCCGACCAAACTTTTCCAGCCTGAAGGAATTTAGACATGCATTGAGACAATTACTATGTGGTAGAGGTTATTGAGATTAGAAGAAAGAAGAATGAGAAGCATAGGTCTATTAAGGTTGTATTTGGAGGATATATTCATTCTTTATTCATGATGGAGGCAGTTTTACTGTAAAGACCCTTCATGATACGCATACTTGTCTTCGAGTGACAAGAAATAGAGAGTCAACCAACACTTGACCACAAAGATTGTGGGAATTTTACAGGTTGACCCAAACATGCCAATTCATGTTCTTAGATCTGAAGTTTTTTGCATAGATCCTTCATTCCCAAGTTTGTTGTTTTTCTTATTCTTTTTCCTAATGGATTTATTTTTTATTGATTTTTTTTTTTGCATAGATCAAATCAACTACATTGTTTCTTTTCTTCACAACATTTGGATGACCATAAATCTAATGCCCATTATATAGATGGTTTTCATATGAATAATTTTGTAAGAATGCATTTTGAAACATAAAATGTAAAATGTTTATAATTGTTAGATGATTGATTCTTATCTTATTTAACGCTTAAAAGTTAAAACTTATTGCTTACAAAATTCTATTTTATGGATATTTGTACCTTCCATCATTCTAACTTGGTATATTACATGTTATTTTTATCATTTATAAATTTTAATTATTTTTTTTCTTAATTTTTTAGGCTTACGCCTCATCTTTTTGAGCCACTACACCTCAACTATGCCTTTAGCCTTTAAAACATTGTCAAATCCAAAAAAAAACTCACCAACATGGTCCTTGGGCAGCATGACAATAGATCTTCCAAGAGTACTCATCTGTCTCCCCTTCCCTGTATTTCCCAATCACCTCGCCCCCTCGGCACGGAGGAGTATGAGGTAGTCTCAGTGTCTTTTTCTTGTGAGCCCGTCACCATTGGCGCTATGTAATAGATGACAGACCTTTCCTGTGTGATTGAGGCTAGGGGTGGATTCGAGCTTAGCCGAGCCGAGCCGAATAGTATGAGGCTTGAGCTCGAGCTCAGCTTGAGTCAAAAATTCATAAGTTCTAGCTCGATTTTGAGAAAAATATTTTATAAAAATAAAAAATTATATATTAAAATAATATGTTTTATTTGATATTTAGAAATTAAGAATTATAATATTTTTATTATATATATTATTTTCTATAATTTTATTATATATTAAATATATATATATATATATATTCGAGCCGGCTCGCAAGCCTCATGAGCCGAGCTCTAGTAGACTCAAGTTCGGCTCATTTCATAATCGAGCCAATGAATTGGGCTCGAACTTGATTGAAACCGAGTCGAGTCAAGCTCGAATAGCTCATGAAAAGCTTGACTTGTTGCCACCCCTAACTGAGACGGAGGTATCAAGTGAAAGATAGTCAAGCTTGTAGGAACTATTCACCTATAAGACTTTGTCGACTGGTTGAGTAGTGTAGGAAAGTTCTTTGATTATAAATTTGTTCTTAAGGATAAGAAGGTACCATTGGTCACCCTTAAGCTGCAAGGTTGAGCCCTAGCTAGGTGTGACAACCTTTGTTTGTCAAACCCGTCATTAGCAAGGTAAGTCCAAAATCAGAACCTGGGAGGCCATGCTCATTCCCCAAAATTACCATCAGAGTTTGGAGTTCACATCTGCGCCCCACAATGCCCCACAGCACATCCCACCTTGTATTAGAAATCCAATGGGCCTTAGGCTCCCTCCAAAGATTAAAATGTTTCTTTATTTTCTTCTTAATCATCATCTCCCCTTAGAGTTTCCTCCTTTTCAGGGGAATCCATATTGATGATGCTTGTAGTTTTTGTGGTGACAATGAAAATGTGGGCCATATTTTTTAAGATTGTTCATTTTCCAAACAATAAGTATGGTTGACTGATAATTTGGATAATGGTAGATTTAATGCTAATTAGGTGAGAGAAAAATGTGCTTCCATTCTTGGGTTTATTTGAAAAAGTAAGAATGATAAGGTTTTCAGTGACCAAAAAAAAAAACATTTCTCCCCCAGTCATTCTAGATCATGCACTTAATTTGCATTTGGACACTCAAACAAGTCTCAGTCTCGATAGGGAGATGATGAAAGGAAAAAAAAACACTAGAATCATGTCTGTTAGAAACACCCAAGAGGTGATAAGATTAAAGCTAATTTTGACACTTCCCAATCTTTTGATGGCTCTTGAATCATAGATTGTATCGCAAGAGATAAGTTTAGGAAAGTTTTAGAAGTCAAAACCTACTCTTGGTTCTACTTCCATTAATTTAACTGAAGCCTGAGTAGTTTGGAAGGCTCATAATATTGCTTTTAATTATAAGGATTCTCTTCTAGTCATATTGTGTCTCAAGAAGAAATCTGAAGTGTGGTGGAGACTAAAGACTATTATTGAGTGTCAGAGATCTTGTGAGCAGTTGGACTGCGGGGTGATATATCATCATATTTTCCGTGAAGGTAATGAAGCGGTGGACCGGGCTTCTCGGGAAGTTCTAGCCTTCTGATTCTCTCCTTTTTGTAGTTCTGACTCTCCTTTTTCCTTAGCTGTAATTTGTTGGAGTGATTTCTGGGGTAGAGCTATCCCCTGTCTTCTTGTGTAGCTCTTCTTACTTTTATCAAAAAAAATGCTTAAATAAAAGGGGGTGTTATACTCATACAAAAGCTCAAACTAATGACTAAATTTGAGAGAAACAAAGGATAGAATAGAAAATTAGATAAAGAATAAAGGTTTTATTTTATTATATAAAAGTTTGAATTTAGACCTATTAATGAATTTACATGATAAAATGAAAATTTGTATAAATAAAAACGGTATTATAAGTATATGAAAATTGGACCAAAGGGGATGGATTTATATATAGAAATAGATATCAAAGTGAAAAATAAAAGAGTTTTGACTATTAAAAAACTTTGGATTCACGATTTTTGCATATCCAGAATTTTGTAGGCCTGATGCGGGCCCGGGCTTTTCGAGCTAGGCCAGGTCGGGCTGAAATGATCACCCCTAAGCCCCACAATGACTCAGGTATTTTAAGGTTGCATCTGGTAAGAACACATGTTTGTATTGAAAATAAAGTATATATATTTTTTTTACAGTTTTCATTCAAAATGATAGCAAGGTTCGCTTCCAAAAATGGGAAGCAAACTTAAAATGTATCAGTGCAAAACAAATCCAAGTTTACTCCCAGATGTATTCTTCACGGCTTTAAAAACCGACCCGGAAACGAAATCATTCTAGTTACCGATTTCCAGGTCAGCGGTTCAACCGTCCGGGTCAAACGGTTCGGACGGTTTGCATATTAAGGCAAATGTTTATATGAGATTTGCCCTAATATGCAAACCTCGTAAGAGATGTTGGCTAAGAAAGCCAAAAAGCAGAAGGAAAAAGGAGAACTGTTATCTGAGAAAGAAAAAAAGAAAGAAGAATGAGAGGAGGGAAGAAGAAGGAAGAGGATGAGGATGATTAGATGCTCACCGGCGACGGCGGCAACAAATACAGATCTGAGATCTGAGTTTGTGTATCTGAGTTCTTGGATCTTGTGTCTTCTTCTTCTTCTTCTTCTTCTTCTTCTTCTTCTCTTTGTGCTAGATCCCAGATCTGAATTCGTGTCTCAGACTGAATCTCAGATCTGAATCATCTTCATCTGAGTTCTCTTTGCAACTTTATATTACAAACTGCTGGCCGGGTCGAATGAGTCGATGGTTCAACCAACCGGGTCAGCGGTTTTTTGACAAAGTCAATGGGTTTTGACCCAATAACGAGTTAGGGGTGAAACGGAACCGATTGTTCAAACGGTTTCCAGACCGAACGGTCCGACCATCCAGGTCAACGATCATTCAAAAACATTGATATTCTTTGACCAAATTTGCATTTACATCGGCATATAAACTTTTTGCACTTGTACCAAATGCAACCTAAAAGTCATTATGCTGAGTCTTTATTTAAGTTAGGAAATCGAATTAGAAAGTGGAGGTAACTGTGTACAATAAAAATTGCTTGACTTGAAATATTTAAGACCGTCGATATACATGTGGGACTTGGGAACACGTTCAGGTGTGTCTGTGTGTGTGAATGAGAGAGAGAGAGATTCTACTCAATATTTGACTAAACACTTCTCCGCATAGACCCAAAGCCAATCACCTCTTCAAACAACTCAAGTTCTCTGTTACAATAATGAAGCCAGCTGAATTACAAAAGCTTTCAACCCCTAAAAGAAGAAAAGAAGACACAGAACTATACAACAAATTAAGAAGGAAAAACACCATCTCATCTTAAAAATTATCACCATAATCATCATTGCCACCGTTGTACCAACAATCTAAATTTTGGAAGGGCACTAAAAAGGAAAACACCACTTCCCAATCCCTCTGGTTACACTGGAATGACATCAATCTTTGATGTGTCTTCACATCTCAAAACAATGCCATCAAGGCTTGCTGGTAGGATACATTTGACCCACTGGCATCCTGTTGAAAAGGGTTCAGGGGGAGGAACGATCATGAGCACATTATCATTCCTTTGAACAACTCCCATCACACTGACAGTGCTGCCTTCCTTGATGTACCTACCAAACATAGAACGAACAACTTAACTACTTACCAAACGCCAGCTTGGGGATTCAGAATAAATCAACTGTTTCTTTTTTTTCTTGAACCATTTTCCATAAAGAAATGGATCCACATTTTGTCCAAGATAAATAATGTACTTGATTAAACCAACAGATGCAAGAGTTGGAACTTTTACCCTTCTTTCATGCGCATTACACGATCATCACTTGACAGATTCCTCTCTCTTAACCACCTGATAAATTCTGGAGATAAGTCTCTATTTGACTGGTTGATTTCAACAACAACAGACTCATCAACATATGGTGTCACTCTGGCACCATAGCCAGTCTTGACCAATGCTCTCAAACCAGACTGGAAATCAGAAATATAGAAGTCGACCACATGCCTCTGCCAAAATAAACAGAATGTGTCAATGAAGGCACAGATTAACATCAACATACGGTGTCACTCATGCTAGGTCATGTTTCTCAACAAGAAAAAAAATTGCTTCCAATAAATAATGCCCTCCATGTCAACTGTAACAGTGTAACCCTTAAAGAGGGGAAGGGCATATAGCAGATACAGTTCCCAGCTAAAGCCATTTTCCATAGATATCACTTGGATTACAGCATAGACTATGTGCAGACATGGAATTCACAATAAAAACTTGTGTTTAACATGGACAGACAGACTAGATTCTAATTGTCAAGTGTTTATTTAAGAATTTCTTTTTTTTTACTATTTCTGTTCATTTAGCAAAAGTTAAAGACCAAAGAAAGTAAAACAATTGAACTAAGGAACTTCAATGTGATCCTATTTGAATGCCTCATAGTAGGGGTGATCATTCTTGGCCCAGCTCAGCAAGCTCATAAATTTATGGGCCTGGGCCAAGGTCTTTGTGTGCAAGCCCGGCCTGGCCCAGGCCTGCATTAAGCCCAGAAAATTCTGGCGGGGCTTGGGCCTAACACTTCAAGCCCAGCCTGGGCCCGTCCCAGTCCACAATATAATATAATATATATTCTTAATTCTTAAATGTATAATATTTTTATATTATAATATATTATATTATGCATTATATAATAAATTATATACTTAATATTATATATTTTATATGTTATTTGTATGCAAATATATTTTATTTTATATTAAACATTTACTTAAGGTTCAAAGTATCAATACAGGGCGATACACCGGTAGGGCGTATCGGACTGTATCAGTACTCTTTTTTCTTTTTCGAATCTGGTTCAGAGGGGCCGGTTTAAGGCTGGTCTACCCCCTGAACCACTTGCCGACCCGAAACACCCCCTGTAGGGGCATATCGGGAAGGCTCCAATACGATACATACCGGCCGATACAGGCCGATACATATCGATACTTTGAACCTTTCATTTACTATTTATATAAAATATAAATTTTTTAACACATATTCATGAATTGACACGTGTCAGCACACGAGTCAACTCAGGTATGAGATTTGTCCTAGGCATGACCTTTCCTTCGTTCCCATTCTTGAGCAATGTGGGACTTGGGACAAAACTCAATGGCAACACTCACTATTGAATGTTGTCTCATGTCCCACATTGCTCAAGAATGGGAATGAAAGCCACCCTGCCTCCATCTATAAAAGAATAAGCCAAGATAAACCAAGCTTACGAATTAAATGAGGCCCATTGCCTTTATTTTTGTGCAATAGGCCCAAAAACTAGTCAAGAGTAGCCTAGTTTGGGCTTGTGCAATGGTTTTTTTCATGTATTATATATTATTTTAATTTAAAATTTTCAAAATAATTAATTTTTTCATTAATCCCAGAAAGCCTATAAGCCCAGCCCGGACCAGGGCTTATAATTTAGGCCTGCGGTGCAGGCTGGGCCAGGCCTGGGCCTAGGCTGAAGCCTTTTTTTTCATGAGTGCTAAACTTGGCCCATGATCAGCCCTACTTCATAGGCCATCACCCCCATGACGTGGCAATAGAATGAACAATCCATGGGTGGCATTTGCATATAGAAAGGTGCAAAGGACTTCGATTTCCAAATTGATGAAACACAAACAGTATGTCCATTTTTACACTTCCATTCAAAAATAGCAGAACAAGAACAGATTTTTAAGTGTGTAGGGCATTATGAAGCAATTTGCCACAAGTACTTACTATAGAATGAGAAAGATTGACAAAAAGAAATAATTCAGACATGGAAGTAAATTTATCATGGAAATTATCAAAAAAGAGTAAATTTATCATGGAAAACTGGACAAAGGAATTGGAGAGGAGCAGGGATAGTTTATTATAATAATTGTAACCTTATCCTTAAAAGTAAAATTAATTCCAACAACCAAAAATTATTAACTCGTAAAAAAGAATAAATTAGCAGCAATGAAAAGAACTCACCTCAAGTGATCGAAGCCCCCATGTAAAATGGCGATGTGTAGTATTGGCAGCCTTTGAATCCCATCCCCGGTACTCATATAGACTTGTGGATGTATAAACACATCTGGGAACCTTTTGGAAAGATGACTCAAGGGGTACATTTCCACAGGTAACCACCTGCATGAATCACAACCCATAATAGCTTGAACAATGTATATATGCCATTGAATGTTCGTGGGTATTGGGTAATTGCAAAAAGATAGAAAGGAATATCAACAAGTGTAAACTTGGTAACTATTTTGAGAATTTTCAACATCAGGTCCAAGCATCATACTGTAAACCTTTCAAAATTAGGAAATAGTCAACCCAGGCCTGCCCACACCGCACCATTGCTAGAAACTCAACCTACCAACCACTAAACAATTTACAAAGAAAAAAAAAACATATATTTACTACCACAGAGACAACTTGATATGCCATCAATTATACTTCTACAGGTCCAATGCCTATTGATCTTAAAAACAGGTCTTAGTCTAAATAGATATTTGCACCTTTACCCAATACTGATCTTATTCACACCACCTTCATCCTAGGCAACGGGCAAAATAGAGATGTGCATCCAGAGTCTTCTGTGATAGAAGAATGCTACTTACGCTAAAAGGAAAATTTTAGAATACAGTTACAAGGCCAGCAATGTTGTCTGAAGAAAAGTGTTTCCTCCACCCCTATTTCTTCTCCTCCCTTGTCCTGTTATCTTCTTCCAGAGGTTTTGATTTCTAAAACTCTCAATCTAGCCTCATCATACTTCATGTTTCTGTTTCCTATTGTCATCGGTAGCTCTGCCTTTCCGATGTTCACTTCCACCCTACCTTTGAACACTTTATTCCTCCACCTACAGCCTCCACTAACATTGTTAGGCTCCTGTGCCACTGCCAAAAAAGAGTTTTGGCTCGGATCTAAAACATCCAACCCATGACTGAGGTCAAACTCTTGCGATTTCACCTCAGCAAACTCCAATGGTCCTCTCATCTTGTTCGACTGTATATTCCTTCCTCTTCTTTCCTTGAAAATTGTTGTCGTCTTCGATCGTGATAATCTTCTTTCCTGCTTTGTATCTCACTGTCAGCCACACCAATTTTCCGACAAACTCTCCGAATCCAATTCTTTTATTTCTGCTTTTCTTCTAAATATTCCCCTCATTACCTACAGCCTTTTTACTTAATTTGGCTTCTTAAAATCCTTATCGATCCTTTTCAAATGGCGAACCCCACCACTAATTTCTCTCGGCTGACCACCCCTGGCTCCTTATATTCCTTTCCTTCTCCTCCATGTAGACTGCATCCGCCCTTGAATCTCAAGTCACCTGACCCTTAAGTGGCTTACGTGCCTCCCCTTTGTTTAGGTTAATTACTCGACCCAGTTCATTTATCTGGTTCCTCATTGAGGCAACTGGTTTGGACATGACCAACCCCTTTTTCTCCTTAGAAAGTGGTCCCCACATGGGATCTGGCATGGCCCCAGATTTTAAAGCCTTGACAAATGATTTAATGCTCATTTGCTTATCTCCTCTTCCAAAGGTATTTGAATTATTTTCTATAGAAGGGAAGACCCCCGCTGGGCAGTTAGGAGGCTTTTTGGTTTCCTTCGAGCCTTGGCTCATCTGGCTTTTTAGCTTTCATCTTTTCCCAATCCCCCTTCTTCTCCCACATCCATAATTGCTTTCCTATCACCAAACGGCACAATGGATGTAGGCTATTTAAACTTGTGTTTCTTCAACATACACTAGTATTTTTTTCCCAAGTCTGCTACGTCTCTTTGGGCTGTAAGAACTAACCTCTAGCTCCAATCCCCTCCTCTCTCTGCAAACACCAGCTTCTGGTTTTTCATCGAGCAAGCCAACTGAGGCTTTGTATCAACCTTTGATTGCTCCTTTCTTGACTGGGACTCATTAGGTACTTCCTCCCCAAAAAAAATCCCATGTTTCCTTCCATTGAGCTTCTTCCTTTAGCAGCATGCCAGCATCAGTTCCTACAATTTCTCTACAAAAGCCAGTCAGCCACTTCTTCCTTTACCCTCTAGAACACACAAAAACTGTCTTCTATTATCACCGAATTGTTCAACTATAGCTACAAACCAACCTTTTGTATTTGTACTTTTGCTTCATACTTCCCCATTACGCCCAATGAGCACTTCCAACCTTGTTTAACAGTGTAGGAAGCTCCATAGACAAATCCTTTGAGCCAACTGATAGCTTCTTCAACTACGAATAAGGAAGCTCTCTTGTCTTCTCCGATCTTAATCATTGTAACTCCATTACATCTTTCCTTGAACAAGAAATTCTTTGCTTCAATCTCCAGATCCCTTTTCCATCGCACCATCAATGGAAAGTGTGTGCTCTCCATTACATTCCTAATCTCCCAGTGATTTTCTTTTTTTTGAAATGGAAAGATAATTCAGTAATAAAAACGAGCCGTCCATTCAAACCGAACAGTCGAAACATCGACCCGAAAACCGGTGGCCATAATGATTCCGTAATTTTTTGCTTGTAATTTTTGTTGTCAATGGACCGTCCATTCGAACCAGACGGTCAAACCGTCGACCCAAAAACCGGATGGTCAAACCTTGTTTCAATGAAGAATTTTATATATATATATATATGAAAGGGAAATACTGCCATTTGGTGAAAGGGGAGACCACCCCTTATATATATAGATTTCCTTTTTAATTATCTTTAAAAAGATAATTAACGTTCGTTTTATTAACATCCCTCCTGAGTTTTTGACACAAGGATGACCGTTCGTTTTGTTTACTCATTCAAATCAACGGCAGAGATGGAGTGGTTACACAAAAAATCGTGTTTGTACAACAATTGAATGGCTACGATGGATCAATCTATCGAACTCAGTAGTGGGGTCTACCTGGGAGGTATCCAAGGGAAGGTCGAAAAAATATCAAAAAAGTACAGACAGGCCCAATGCAGATTTCTGTCATTTGATCAGAACAGCATGGTGTCTCTAGACACTTCTATATGCGTGCCACCTGACAATAGTGTACTGTCACTGTAAGCTTAGGAGCTAAGCACATGGACTAGACCTAAACGACCAGAGAAAATATCTGAAATGTCAAGCTGATCATTCTATTTAATTTCAATAACCTGATGCAGAAAGCTACCAGGTCCAAAATTACCAAATCACCCTGAGGTTATCTGAACGTGAATAACAACGAATCCGAAATGAATGAAAGAGGCAAGGGTAGACCTGGAATATAGAAACTATGAAAGGTTTCGGGCAGTTCAACTTTTTTTTCTTTTTTGATATTTATTTTAATATAATATACAGTGTGGTTTATTGGGTTCAAGTCTGTAAGAAAAGGAAAAAATATTAAAAGAAAAAGGCACCATAGACCACAGTAGGCTGAGACAAGTGGCAGAAAATTCAGTAGTTTTTTCTTTTTTTCTTTTGTAGGGGAAGGGGGTTTTAGAAGTTGCAGAGATTTCTCCGATCTGGAGGGAAGTGGAAGGACAGTAGCTGTCTGGGCAGCGAGCCTACCTCAGTTCTGGATACAAGAAGGAGCCCAAGCCCTCCTACATCTACCTCAACCCTGTCTTCTTCCTTGGGCGGAGGCGGCAGCTCAACTGACACAGCCAGCATGGCGGTGGTTTCCGATAATCCTCCACAGAAATGGCCACTGGGCCGCAGCGCCATAGATGACTGGGATGGATGACTGGGAAACGTAGAAAGGATAGGATCCAAGGAGGAACTTATTAGAATGAACCTAGGAGTATAAAATGAGGGTAAGTAGACTAGGATGTTGGGGCACGTGTAGAGAACATTTACATCACCAATAAGAAGTAATCTGTTACAAGTTGAAGGGGCTAGAAGATCCAAGGGGAGACCAGAAAGGTCATGGGTTGGAGTAGTGAGAAATGATTCAAGGGCCCATAATTTAAGAATGGATATGGCATTGAATAGAATGGAATGGTGAATAGGATTCCTGCAACCAACCCCATATAGTTGGGAAAAGGCTTAAATGATGATGAAGATGATACTAACAACTTAAATATATATAGAAAAGCAATTTTACCCCATTTTCAATCCATATATACCATATATGAAATTAATATAACAAAGTCTTATTATAACAAGGGTTTTAAGACAAAAGCCCCTTGAGAAAAATTAAAACAAAAAGAAAAAAAGAAAAAACAAAGTAGAGAACTAGGTACAAATTGAATTGATTCAAACAGCGTGAATCCTATGCATCATAAAATTCACAAATCAAACTATAAGATTCAAATAATAATTGTAATATTTTTCAAAAGAGGATTTACGTGTAAGATATGAATTGGTACCCTTGGGATTCACAATTTGAGTCTTGAATTTTATCATAAATCATAAGACTTTGACAACTATAATTTGTTAGAAAGCAGGATAACCCACTAAGTAAGAGAAACAATCTCATTTTCCATGGGCAAAGATTACAAAAGGGAACCTTCAGTTCTTAACCTTCCTCACTTCTGGTATTTAACATAAACTTTAATAGACTAATGATAATTATTCTTTTCCTATTCTTTTTTATTTTAAATTTTCTAATTTAAATCTCTATTAAATAGCCGTTAATATTATTTAACAACATTATTAGAACTATATGGCAGTGCATCAGATTGCCCAAGGTTGTCTAAAAAATCAGTAGTGATTGTGTCAGTATCTAATGTACATAGACCTCTTCCATCACTCCTTCAGTTTCTCCTTTAACTTCCTCTCCTAGGGGAAAGGCTGAAATGAATGGAAAAAATCAGAGTTATAAGTCCTTCCTTTTCTCCATGGTATCTTGAAAGTAAAAGCAATTTTCTGAATCCCATGTTTTTCCTATCCATAAGTACAAATATTTTTTAAAACATTAAATAAACAATCAAGAATAATTCTTGATTGGACAGAAAAATTGTGTCAGCATTCCTCAAGAAGATACATACCCCAGAGACTTTGACATATTGCCCATCCTTTGCAGTTCTGAGCTCTGCATCTGGATAGTGGGCAATGAAACCCAGGATAGCTCTTCTTCCACAACAAGTGTTCCATGTGAAAAGTGCAGCAACAGCACCAAAGAGAACCACAACAACAATGAGAAGAATGGCATTGTGGACAGCACCAAGAATAAAACCACCTGAAATGAAACCCATCACAAACAACAAAATCATGGACCACAATATTGGCTTTGGGAAACTCCCCTTAAAGGAGTAGTCATCCTCCTGGCTAAGATTAGTCACAGCCTGGTTGTGAGCAATTGAAGTGCTATGTAGCTTGACTGATCCCATAGAGTCCAAAGGACCAGATACCTTCCGAGGGCCTCCAGATGAATTTAGTGGGCCTGAAGAAATAGGGCCAGATGTAATGAGACCAGTTGCAGGGAGTACTGGTGGAAGAGGACCAGAGTTCTGGCGTACAACTGGAGTCATTCCTCCAGATTGAGGACCCGAAGATTTCTTAACAGGCTCCCCATGTTTATTAAGTGGTCCAGAGTTGGATTTCTGCCTATTTGATCCTCCTGTTACCAAGGAAGCTGAGCCTGGGATCCCACCAGAAGTTACAGGACCTGATGTAGAATAGCTTGCACGAGCTGCAGCATTTGGCATGATTGGTCCTGAGTGTGATGCTGCACCTCCGAATGATCCCGTCCTTGAAGGAGCATTAGTTAGAGGTCCAGACTTCCTTGACTTGGAGCCTTCTACATGAATATCAAACATCTTTCCCAGTTCTCCTGACTTTTTGATATCACCACCAGTGTAGGGCATGGCAGCTGAGCTCATTGTCAGAGGCCTTTCCTTTGGTTGCTCAGGACGGCCTGATACATAGAGGCCATTACTGAGCTGATGGGATGGGAATCTGGAACCCATCTTTACTTTGTGATACCAAAGGAACTGGCAAAAATAGTCACAAGTTCAATGCAATTCCAACTGATACAGTTATAACCAATGTACAGGACAGTACCAGCATGATCACTGTAAGGTATCCATCTTTAACATCATCAGCATGGTAGTGATGACATCCCAATGTCATATGTCCTTATGTAATATTCAGAATTTATCTGAAAATAAGAAATACATTCCTGTCAAAAACATGTTCTTTTTGGTAGAAAAATTAAAATGATGGCAACTCAAACAAAAAACAGCAATAAAATTAAAAACCAGTGGCTGCAGCATGAACTAAAAAGAGATGGAAAGAGGAAAACTGTGTCATCAGCTCCTACCAGAACTGAAATATCGTCCAGTAAACTCTTGACCTCAGTAACCATTTTTTCAACTTCAAATTAATGTATGCTTGTCCTCGGATTCCAAAACCAAGGACAAAGACATGGGGGCAACAGCAGCAATTAGGCTTCTCCACAAGACCGAGTGACCACTGCTCTTTCATTCAAAGACATTGAAAACCAGCTTTGGGAAAAAACTTGGATTATGGGAGCTTCCTATAAAATAGGATACCATACCTTGGTCAAACCGTCCCAGCATCATGTGAACCATAATAATAGCTTGGGAATAGATAGCCTATCTCCTAATCTTACTGCTGACACTGGTTTACATTTCACATTTAAGCAGTGTTTCATTGACTCTCCTAAATGGATGAAGTATCCATGTGTACATGCATTGTAATCTGACATTCCATGGGTTCTTAAATGGCACTTCTATCTAACATATCTTTGCTTATTCAACATAAATAAATAATGAATGCCATTTTTCTATAAAATGTTATTAAGTAACAAAGATAATATTTTAAACCTTTTCTTTGGCTTTATAATGTTAAAATTTACACATTTTGGGTGCAGACTCCCATGCCTATGTCCATAAAACATTGAATTTATGTGTAAAAGATTCTTAATTCCAGATCAAAATACACAAGAAAATTTGAAGATCGAATGGGAACCTGTATTCCAAATTTTCAGTGAGATATCTAAAAATCCCAACATAAGTCAAAATAAAGGGACTGAACAAACAAAACAAATATTCATTTAAAAGGTAATAACTATGCAAAATTAATAACACTTTTGTTACATGAAATAAAACACAGAAGCCACAACCATCTGAAATATGACGTCAGTCCAACCTTAATGTGAAACACTTCCAAACATCTAGGATCTGAAAAGCATACCACCATTCCATTTTCTATATTAAAAACTAAAATGGGGGAGTAATCTCCAAAATCAACGGCCTCAGACAGTTAAACCTCAGTGTGTCCCCAGACGGAATTAAAAATCCAGAATACAAACCTAAAATCGTGAAACCAATTGCATCCGGAATCCCATTTCTAGTAAAGCCACTTAACATAGCAGAATATAAACTTTTTTTGAGAAAAACTAAGATTCACATAACTCAAGGTCAAACGCTGCCAATATCAGCTGTCTTATTTGTAAACCAAAACATCATAATGAGATAGATCATAGGCAATGTAACTGCAAATAACCGCAGAAGTCCACCAATTCCAAATCTGGAATTCTAAACAAAGAACCCAAACCCCAAATCAAGAGACACATTACATACCCAACTTTCCATGTCCCTAATACATATTCAACTTTCCATTTCCGCAAGAGAAAACCAAAATGTGAAAGATCAGAAACCCTAGAAACCACTAAATTCAGTGAAACCTAATCAACGGCAATATCTAGAATCAGAAACCCAGACTTCAAACTCACGAGATTCACTCCTCAGCCAAACAACTGAAACGGCACTACCACAGACGCCATATTTTAGGTGTGATTTACACAAATGTACCATTCCCTACATCCAGAATCCAAACCAAAACCTAAATAGCAAGCAGGAGCAAAATGTACGTACATTTCCACTTTGATAAAAGTGAATGGAATGAGAAAGATCAGAAACCCTAAATCAGGATTTAGAGCGGTAGTAGACAAGTGGAAGAAAGAGATAACGAAGCAAATTATAGCAGAAGAAAAAACAATAAAAATGGGAGCGATTCGCACACCTGCAGGGAACAATGAAGTCCAAATCAGAAGATATTGAGACACACAGTCAATCAAAGTTTATAATACATAGTCTGCAATGAATTACCATTGCCATCTAGAGAGATTTAATTTGGTTGTTTCTTGTAAAAAAAATCTCCAAGCAGAGAGAGAATAAACAGAGATAATATATTTCAAACAAAAAAAAAAAAAAAAAACAAGTATAAACTATAAACACACCTTCCACCTTCCCTTTCTCTGCAGTTTTCTAGTCTTTCTCCCACATGAGTGAATCAAATACCCCTCATTTTGCTACAAAATGTCGAAACTGCCACTGCCTGTGCCATTTTCGAATTTTGTGGAAGCTGGGTTCACTCCTTGCAGCATCTTCGCTTCACAGCGAGAGCATTGACTGTGGTTAGTTTGTCTGCCGTTACCCATGGAAGGGTGAAAACCTTAACCGCAAGAAGCCAACAATGCCCTGGTTTTAGTTTTTCCCTCTCCTGAAGTTTGGCAAGAAGTACCTCTTTTACATTTTTTGACACAATTGCAAGTAGACCTTATATTAAAATCTCCTAACAGATCCCTTATACTCTTATCGAGGCTAGTGGTGGCAATTGAGTGGGTTGAGTTGAGTTTTGGTTTGTATTGAGATTAAACCCAATCCATCTAACCCGCCAATTTATTAATGACCCAGTTATATAAATTTAAATGGGTTAAACTCAATTGAAACTCGTCTTGATCTAACCTAACCTACCCAATTCATTAATCTTATATTTATGTACTTAAAATTAAAAGTTAACTCTCTTTTAATAAATAAATTGGCCATAGCTTGATAGTAATAGTAGCTATTATTAATACAAGTGGTGAATGTTCAAATCTCATTACATCATATTATTTTTAAAAGGAGGATAAAATGCAATTAATCACTTGAAGCCATTTAACTATTTTCAAGTTTTGAGTTGGACGAACCACTTAGGTTCAAATCGGTCAGACCAACTTGAATTATTTAACTAGATTTGTCTTCGAGCTAATCACATCAATAGTGGTTGAACCATTTGGATACGGATTTGTCTGAACAAACCAATCTGGTTCAATCAAATGGCAACCTGTCTCTGACCGGTCCTTATTGGGTTGCATACTTGCATATAGGTTTGTGACCGAGCTGACAGATCTCAAAGCAAGCTGGACAGGACGATACAAATTTAGGTCAAGTTGGTTCGGGTTGTGCAAGCTCGCACAAAAAATGACTAGCCTAAACCATGTCAAAGTGAACAAACCACGTTGATTCAAGTCGTAGGGGGCCATACTAGTATGCATTTGGGTCGGGTCAGTCCGCCCATAACCAAACCGAATTCAAGTCGGCTGGTTTGGCCTAGACTAACCAATCCAAATGGATCGAACCAAGGTGATCAGTTTGTTCATATTGGAACCGGAAGTCAATTATTAATAGAAAATTAATGCATTAATTATAAATTATTTCACTTAAATGAAGAAAATTAAAAAAATGGTTAATGAATTCATACTTGTATTTTTAGTTGTTAACCCAATGATTATCCATAACCCAACCTGATCAACCCATTTAAATTAACCCATTTTCAACCCACCAAGTAAATGGATAGATTGGGTGTTTAGATACTAGGTGGGTTGGGTGGGTTCATCTAGTTGGGTGAGAAATTGCCACCCCTAACCAAGGTTGGTTTCTACATAAAAGGCAATACAAACTTTATAAAGAACAACCAAAAAAAGTATAAAGTTGTAGCCTTACCTTTCAAAGATTGGCAAGAAAGTGAAATTAAGAAAATAAAACAATTTTACAAAGATATTGCTCAAGGGTTTGGGATAGTGATTGATATGAAGATAAAATGTGGAAAATAAGCATTTTGGTCAAAAGTAAATACATGGGCATTTTGGACATTTTCATGCTCCTCTTTGTTAAAGGATTATAATAGAGGAAATCTATTTGCAACTATATTAAAAAGTTAAGGGAAGGTGATTGCAATTACGAAATTTAGGAGAGGTTTCAACAATTTACCATTTTTTAGTTTTGGATGTGGAAATGCCCTTAAATCTCGCAAATTACTTTTGTGTCCATCTATTTTGTTAGATAGAGAGTGACATGTGCTAACTACGTGGCACCTATGTATAATTTTTGTTTTTTGTAATAATACTATTTTATTTAAGAGTTAATATTTATATACTACTTATATTAATTTAAATAACTAAATCAGGTTTAATTTTTAATTTATAAGTCAAGCATACTTTGAAGTGTAAACTTTTTATGGAGAGTCATATGTCTAAAGTTAGCATTGTTTTTTGATATTGGAGTTTTGTTATCACTTTTTTTGAGTGGGTAGACACATGTTTTAAAAAGAAATCTGTCTATTTGAGAGTGGAAAGTGCCCACTTCTTAGATATTGTTTCTTAAAAAAATAATAGAATGTCATTTATTAAAGGAACGGCTCACTAGTTTGAGGGTTTTCCTTTACTAGAGAATGACCCCTTGTAATAAGTATAGTGTCGGTATTTTGATTGATTTATTTGTTTATTCTAATAAATTTTGCTTGGCACCCATTTTGTATGTTGTAAATTTAGGTTATTATTTTATTTGATTATATATATATATATATATATATATATATATATATATTTAAGAGATTATAAAAACATTTTATGAATCCTTCATCATTTAAAATGAGATTTTGTTTTTTTTTTTTCTTCTTCTTTTTTAGTGGAGATAACTACCACTAACCTTTTTGAGAATGGAGGTAACTACCATTTGAGTGGGTAAATACATGTCTTAGGAATGAAGCTTTTATTTGAGAGCGAGAATAATTACTTTTGAAATGTTTTTTCTTGAGAAAAATCAATTGTCACTTGTCTAGGGAGACGCTCTCTAGTTTGAGGGTTTTTTGAAAGTACCCACTTCTTGGATATTGTTTATTGGAAAAATAATAGAATCTCATGTATTAAAGGAATGGCTCCATAGTTTTAGGATTTTCCTTTAATATATTTACTAGAGAATGATTCCTTGTAATAAGTACAGTGTTGGTATTTTAATTTATTTGTTTATTTATTCTAATAAAATTTGCTTGACACCTATTTTTGTGTTGTAAATTTAGGTTATTATTTTATTTACTTATATATATATATATATATAAAATAAGTAAATAAAATTATATTTAAGTATTTGTATGTGCTTTGCATGTGACAAATTTTGTGATGATATAGTATATAATATTGATGGTGCGTTGGTGCTCCCTACTAGACCTGTTCATGGGCCGGGCTTTTAGTCTTCATTAACGGAAAAATGATAGGCCCGAGCCCGAGCCCGGCCCAACCAACGGGCCTAGAACTTGGGCCCGAGCCCGGCCCGACCAACGGGCCTAGAACTTGGGCCCGAGCCCGGGCCCGGCCCTTCTTCTTCTTCTTTCCTTAGTACAAACTCCCTTTTACCTTATTGGGTCAGTCTGGTTGATGTTTTTCTCTCCTTCCTGTGTTCCAATTTGCTTTGGGTTGGAAGTTTGGAGAGAGGACTTTTGGACCTTTTTTGGTACACGCATGGGTTGCTTTGGTCCCTGATGAGGGCGGATTTGGCCCTCCAGTGAAATTGTGACACCCGACACCCCATGCAAACCAAGTGCAGCCTCTTGACAATTGGGCAGCTCGGCATAGCTCGGGGAGCTCGGTATAGCTTGGGGAGCTCGGTATAGCTCGGGGAGCTCGGTATAGCTAGGGGCAGCTCGGCATAGGCAGCTGGCCACTCCGCAGGCAGCCTGGCGTCTTACGAAGAGCTTGCCACTTAGGGGCAGCTCAGCACTTACAGGTAGCTCGGCATAGGCAGCTCGCCACAGGCAGCCTGGCGTCTTACGAAGAGCTCGCCACTTAGGGGCAGCTCGGCACTTACAGGTAGCTCAGCATAGGTAGTTCGGCACTTAG